TATTATCATGCATGCTTTTCAGTGCTGCTGATGGGGAATGCAGAAAGAAATTTCCAGTCACTATGGCTAGCAGAATTTTGTGGTCCATTAGAGCAATGACTGTCTTAGTGACAGCCATTTTTGATCCTGTCTCCTTCTAAGTATGAAAAAGTATGAGCCAAGTGAAAGTGTTTTATTTTTTATTTGTTTGTCTGATTTCACTAGTCTGATTTTCTTGTTTGGTGGTTGTGTCACAAAGCAAAAGGCTGGCTGAGGACTCAAGTGAGCTGCTGTTGGAGAGTGCGTCCTTTGGGACATACTCCAATTGTCATTGCAATTCATTAATAGTTCAGTATGGATAATATTTAAGTACACTTACTTTCAACTGAATATATTATAGAGTCTAACTATTTATTTTTTTTAACCACCATGATTAGTTTGTACTGCCTTTTAGTTTGAAGAGTATACTTGCAAAGCAGGAGCTAGTCTGTTTGTTGGATTTTAAAAAATAAATAGATAAAGTTTGATATTCTCTGCTGTGGTGCTCAAAGACCATTTACACATTTTAAAACACACACTTGTCCGTCTAATTGGTGAGGAAAGGAATGGTAAATATCACCAATCCAGTCTGTGTTAAGTATGATGTTTTGACTGTGTTTCTCTATTTTTTTTTTCCCTTCCTCACCTTTGTGCGTTTAATGCAATATTATTTCTTTATGAGGTGGAAAAAAAGCTATAGAAAATATAGCATGTTTTTGAAGAATTTATTGTATTCTTTTATCAATAGTTTCCTTCTGTGTTAAGTCTTTTTGTATTTGGCATCTCTTCATGGATTGGCAGAGATGACTACATATTGCTGCTGTGAATATAAGTCATTGCTACATAGTTTAAGAATCAAGCTAATGCAGGAGAATGGATGAAAAGCTAGTTGTGTAACGTATGCTTTTCATAATAGGATCTTGATTGTTTTTCTAATCCCAAGATCTGATGGAAACCTTTATAGGACATGCATGGTGGGCCTCCCTAATGCAGTCTTTAGTAGCTGTAGTTAAGTCATAGAGCCATTAGCTTGATTTCAATTGCTCACAGATGTTCATCTTCACTGTTAACCAGGCCAAGTGAAGTTTTGCTCTGTGGGTGTTTCGAAGAGGGTGATTATTACAATATAATTGGTGCAATACTTCTGTGAGGAAGGGGGTGGGAACTTTTCAAAAGGTAAATACACCATTTACATGTATTTTTGTGTAAAGTTGGGACTCACTTTTATGGTTTGCAGTTATTCTGCCCAAATTACTGGTGAACCCAACAGTTCCAGCAAGGAGCGGATATTATTTCCTAGTGGAATAATCAGCAAATTGCAGAATAGCTAAGCCAGGAAAGGACCTCTGGAGGTTATCTGGTCCAACTCCCTTTTTCTGGCAGATCCACTTAGAGCCAGTTTTCTAGGACTGTGTCTAGACAACTCTTGACTAGTTCCAAGAATGATGATCCAGCAGCCTCTCTAGAGAAGGTGTTCTACCACTTAGTGTTAAATAATATTGTTTCCAGGTGTGTTTAAGTCTGTAGATTTGACACTTTTGGCTTTGCTTAATCTGTGCATTTGAAGTTGAATAACTTTTAAAATTTAAAATTTTGGCACCTTTTCATGATATGTGCTTCTTAAGATACGTCTTCCTTTAAAACAACAGTAATACATTTCAAAGACTTATATTTGTTTGCAGAGCCACAGTAGGTTTCTTGTATTAATATGAGAACAACATGCTGTCATCAGCAATTATGATAATTAAATACAGTTCTTTTTTCTAACGATATCTTAAAAGTGTAGGTAACTTAAGCAGACATACTGAAGACATATTGCATCTGTAAAAAACAAATACAGCAAGAATGTGAACAATTTAAATACAAAGCCATGATGACAATCTAATTTTGATCTTGCATAGCTGAAATCCCTAGCTCTTAGGAAATACTTACTCTGGAAACTTCTTGTTGATGGATGAAAATATGTTCCTCATATAAATAAATCATATGGAATTTTTGTAGTTCCTGTGACCTTTCTTCATGGCTTTCTGTCTTCTGTTTCAGAGAGATTCAAGTGATACACTATTTAAAAGAAAACAAGGAAGCCATTTTTAAATGTCATAAATGGAGCTGTATTATTTCAGCAGTATTTCTTTGTGTTTTAAGAGCAAAGAATCACTTGATTAAAATTAGGTCTCTCTTTCTATTCCTAGTTTTGACAATGCAAACTAGTATTTTGTCGCAATCATAGAAATTCTGTGGGTCTGCGATGATATGCAAAAGCTCCTGATGTGGAGATTGTGTCTTAAGTAATTCTTTCTTTAAAACATTTGCTAACAGAAATATCTGATAATTTGTTAGATTTGGTGTTACAATTATTAGTAAATATTATTTGAAGACATTGGTTCTACTACTGCTGATGCTCTGGAGTGGGAACAGTGCAATGACTCATTCATCTGTTAAAGCTGTTGTGCTTACATGTGCCTTCAGTTCTACAGCGCTACTTTTTAAAGTTGATTCTTCACTTAGTGAACAAAATCTGAGCGTGTTTGTTTGCCATACCAAATAATTTATGCCCCTTCACCTATGTAGTATGTCAGTTTGTTGTTACTGAAATCGTTATTTCAGGCCAGCATATAATCATAGAATGCTTTGGTTTAGAAGGAGCCTTAAAGATCATCTAGTTGCAATCCTTATGCTGTTGATTGCCACCCATTAGATCGGGCTACCCAGGGCTCCATCCAACCTGGCTTTGAACACCTCCAGACATCCACAGATTCTCTGGGTCTCACCACCATCATCGTGAAGGATTTATTTCTAATATCTAATCTAAATCAACCATCTTTTAGTGTTAAGCTTTTAACCCTTGTCCTGTTGCTACACTCTGCAAAAAGAGTTTCTAGCTTTCCTGTAGGCCCCCCTTAGGTACCAGACGGCTGGTACAAGGTGTTCTTGGAGCTCTCTCTTCTCTGACTGAAAAAATTAAGACTGACTGATAATCACTGGGGCTACATATTTATATTTCTCTTGAATAGGTGTGTATGAAAGATGTTCAGCTGAATTGTAACATAGGGTATGCGAAATGCTTAAATGCATTTGTACTGTTCTGAAGATAGTTTTTCTGATGTGTGTAAGGAAAAAAAAAAACATCTGAAAAAACACTGTGGGAGTCTTAGGAGGGAAGTTCACATCACAAAATACAGTTTTGAAAAAATATGTGTTTCTGTGATATTTAGTATTTATGTGGTACAATTACATTAGCAGTAGTGCTGACAATACTGAAATGGTATTTTCTGGATTTGGAATTACACACAAGCACGGGGGTTGGAAAGGACTTCAATAGATATTGAATTCAATCCCCGTGCTGAAGAAGGTACTGCACAGTAAGTTGCATAGATAAGTATCCAGATGGGTCTTGAATATCTCCATAGAAGGAGATTCTACAATCTCTCTGGGCAATCTGTTCCAGTGCTCCATTGCTCTTCTTATTGTGAAAAGTTCTTCCACATGTTACTACAGAACTTCCTATGTTCAATTTTAGGCCATTGTTCCTTGTCATATTGCTATGCACCACTGAGAAGAGCTTGGCCTCATCCATTTGCCTCCCATCTCTCTTTAGATAATTATGAATATTTCTCAGCTCCCCTCCCAGTCTTCTTTTTCCCTAGCAGAACAGACCTCATAGGAGAGATACTCCAGGCCACTTATCATCCTTGTGGCCCTCTGCTGGACTTCTTCTTGGAGATCCCTTTTCTTTTTGAATTGAGGAGCCCAGAACTGGACACAGTACTCCAGATGTGGCCTCACCAGGGCAGAAGAAAGGGGGAGGATCGCTTCCCTCAACCTACTGGCTCCGCTCTTCTTAACTCACTATTGGCCTTCTTGGGTACAAGGCTACACTTCTGGCTTAAGGCCAACCCGTTGACCACCAGGACCCCAAGGCCTTTCTCCATGGAGCTCATCTCCAGCAGATTATTTCTTATCCATGAGGTTATTCCTTCCTAGGCTCAAGACTCTACACTTGCTCTTGTTAATTCTCATCTGGTTTTTCCCTGCCAACTCTCCTGTCCGTTCAAGTCTTGTTGAATGGTAGCACAACCTTCCATAGTGTCAGCAACTCCTCCCAGTTTTGTATCATCAGCAGACTTGCTGAGGGAGGACTCAGTCAACAACCTGGATGAAGGGATAAAAATGTTGAACAAGACCAGACCCAGAACCCCGCTGGGGAACACCGCTAGTTACAGGCCTCCAACCAGACTCTATGCTGCTGATAACAACTCTCTGAGCTCAGCCAGTCAGCCATTTCACAGTCCACCTCACTGTCCAGTTATCTATTCCACACTTATATATATATACTCTATATAACACTTATATATATATACTCTATATTTCATAACAAGGATGTTGTGGGAGATGATGTCAAATGCCTTGCTGAAGTCAAGGTACACAACATTCTTTGCTCTCTTCCCATCTACCTACCCAATGATGACGTCATAGATGGCTACCAGGTTGGTCAAGCATGATTTCCCCTTGTTGAATCTATGTTGACTCCTCCTAATAAGTTTCTTTTCTTTCAGTTGCTTGGAGGTGGCATCTGAAACAGGTTGCTCTGTCACTTTTCCAGGGATGCAGGTGATACTAACTGCCCTGTAGTTTCCCAAGTTCTCCTTCTTGCCCATTTTGAAGACTAGAGTGATGTTGGCTGTTCTCCAGTCTTCAGGCACCGATCCTGTTTGCCAAGATCTTTCAAAGATGATAGAAGGTGGCTCAGCAATCACTTCTGCCAATACACATACTCTTTCAGTACATGTGGGTGCATCCCATTGAGGCCCATGAGTTTCTTGTATGAGGAATAATTGTATTTGGTATAAAGAAGCATAAAGAGGAATACTTGTTTTATGCGAGATTCATTTGCTGAATACCAGCAAGCCTTAATATTTTGTATGTTAGTGTGTTTGGTAGATGTGCTAGATGTTAATTTTCCTTATTTTGAAATGTTTCAGGTTCGTGGCAGTAAAGGTGAAGTCCTTTATATCCTGGATGCAAGCAATCCACGCCATTCTAACTGGCTGCGTTTTGTCCATGAAGCTCCATCACAGGAACAAAAGAATCTGGCTGCAATCCAGGTAGATTTTGTACATTCCTACTATTTGCTTTCTAACTTGATCTCCTGTTCAATCGTTATCTTGTGCAGAAAAAAGATTTGAGAAACATAACTTTCCTTTTCTTATCTTTCCTTTTTGGAGGTGAACACTTGTGCTTAAATATGGTACCATAAATAAAAGATATAAAGACTGAAGGAGTTGTTAGTTAAAATCTGATATTCTTTGAAAGATTTATATTAATCCACTGAGATGAAAGTGCACTAAGTAAATTGTATGAGCTATTTCTCATTTATAGTAAAATGAACAGTTTACATTTAGGAAAAGTCATTTCCGGAGTAGTTCGTACACTTCTATAATGACAACCTAATTTTCTCACTACAGCCTTTCTCAGTCCCAATTAAGTTTTTGCCTGAATGCAGTTGTTTCTTCTCATGATGGAAATTAGAAACGCAACTATGTAGCTCTATAGCTGTCTAAATCAAGATTAGTGATTCAGAGATCTTTTGTGCTGAATTCAGGTATGGACTTAGATGTGAGAAAAGCAAAATCTTACCTTTGCTTTATAGTTAGTTTAAAACGTAATGCAGCTTTTGGCAAATTTGATAGCAAGCATGATGCTTAAATTATTCCAGTAGAAAACAGAGAATTCAAGAATCTAATTATCTGATAGGATGATCATGCAGTGCTTGAGGATAAGTTAATAAAAGCAGATCATTTTCTAGTCTTGGCAGCAGATCTGAATTTATCCAGCTTATTTTTTATTTTTATATTTCTCATTTGCAACGTTGTGTGGTAATGAGTTCCATTGTTTTAATTACATATTATGTGAAACATGCTTATGCTTTTCTTTTAGCAACTTTTTAATTTCACTTGATTTCTCTTCATCCATGTGTGACAGTGAATAGTCACTTTGTTCCTTATCCCGTGCCATCCCTGATTTTATAAAACACTATTATATCCTTTCCATTTTATTTGACAACTCTTTTCTCAAGCTGAAGAATCTTAATCTGTAAATTTTTGGAAGCATTTTGTGACTTTGCAGAATGATAACAAAGGCAGCCATATTTTTCTAGTTATAGCTATTGTCCTCTTAGAGATTATGAAGTAAACAAGCTCTTGGAGCTTTTTTTTTTTTGCACAGCTCAGTAAAATAATTTTCAATCCCCCGTAAGCAAAAATTACTATGCTGTTATTTTTTTTTTTTTCTCAAGACATATTCTTGCCAGAAAGCTGTTCCAAGTTAAAACAGCTTATACTCTAATGTAATCAAAATCTGCATGTGTATATGCATATAAATATATATATGCAAATTTATATATATATATATAAATTTATATATATATAACAAAGGAGCCTCAAAGACCATCCAATTCTAACCTCCTTACTGTGGACAGAGTTCCCACTGTCAAGGTAAGGCTTTCCAAGGCCCCATCCAATCTGTCTTGAATGCCTCCAGATATGGGGCATCCAAAGCTTCTCTGGGCAACTTGTTCTAATGGCTCCCCACCCTCTGAATAAAGAACATCTCCCTAACGTGCAATCTAAATCTTCCTTTTAGTTTAAAAACATTCCCCCTTGTTATATCACTATACGCCTGTGTAAAAATCAGTAAAAAGGAGAAACATTAGAAAAACAGTATAAATGTTTATCAGCATTTCTTAAAATTATAGTTCTGCTTTTTTGTCTTGAAATGATTTTTTTTTTTTTCTCCAGGATTTTCCAGCAGATCCCTGAGAAAATGATTAAAAAGAAGTTTATTCTGAAGCCAATCAGAAATATTTTTAGATACCTTTATTTGCTGAGAAACAAATGAAGTAAAACAAGAAAAATGTTTAATAATAATAATAATAAAAGATTAGTTAAGTTTCAGGATGTAGTTTTGTGAAAGGTGCACACTGATGGCACTCCAATTTTTGTGCTGAAGATCTGATGCTTCCTTGAATATCATGTTCTCTAGAGGGGCTCTTGTCTTGTTTGGTTTTTAAGCAAGCACTGTCCAGTGAGATTTCTGCTGCCGGTTCTTAGAGACTTCATATGTCCTTCCTCTTTTTGTTTCAGCAGTGAGCCTTTCTACGATTTCCTTTCTGCTGTTCTACTGCATCTCTTTTCCCTAGCAATTTGATTTGTTATCTGCCTTCACTTGATTTGCACCTCCTACTTTCTAAAGCTCTAGTTCTACTGAATGGCAGTCTGCAGTTTACATCTGCAGCTTTTTTTCATGGTGATCCTGTGTAAATGAAAATTCAAGGATGATCTCTCTAGAAACTAAAGGTATATCTACTGCTGTCTTTCAGACCACTTTGTTTCTCTCCAAGTAATAATCTTCACATATCTCTGGCATACCATTGCTAGCTGAAAATATCTGCAATTTTGCTTCTGATATTGTTTCTTTGTACTTTGTTATTGTTCCTGTTTTACTTTGCTACTGACAGCTTTATCATCAGTTTATCCTTTGGATCTGTATGCTTTAATCTTTGGATCAAACTTCTTTAGGTCTTTACGTCCAGGCTGCAGTTCAGTTTTGAGTAATGTTAAGGGTGTTCACTGTTCGCCCATTCAGCAAAACCTCTTGTCAGTAATTGACTGAGTGAGTGCTTTGCTATGATTTTCCATGATGTTTGTGGCAAGTCAATGGGTAATTTAGTATGATCACTGTCTGTGAAATTATTTCTGTATTTTTTTTCCCTCTGTCTTGTTCCTTCTGTTATATCAAGACTTCAAACTTGAAGATTTCTGGCATGGCCTGTTGTCCTGCTTACAGCACTAACTATGAAAGACCCTCATATGTGGTCATCAGTCCTCGGCATTAGTCAAGTATGTATTATAATCATTGAATAGTCAGTGTGATATTAATTGCAGTCAGTGTTGGCGAATGTGAGGTAAGCTTCACAAGAGGGAGCAGTGTGAACAATTAATGTTTGTTATTACATTTTAAATAAAACACTCAGTAAAATAACCTGAATTTCTGAACAAGTCTTAATAGAATGTCACATCCAGTGTTTTTATTAATGAAAATGGTCATTTGAAGAAAGGAAAAGTATCATGAACACAAATTAATGAACACAAACAGAAATTTACTGAGTCATCACTTTTTAAGTGCCATTGATTAACAACTGACAACACTTGTATATTCTTTGTGAGTGAAATTTTGTGTCTGTATATATATACATGCATTTAACTACAGGTAGCATGAATAGGTACAGCTTATGTTAAGTAAAGCTAAATATGCACATATTTCCTTTCAGGGTTTTGTTTCACTTTAGCAGATGGAGGTGCAAGTGCCAAAGCACCTCTATTTCTCTTGGGAAGAAAAAAGCCCACATATCCATGAGTATTTTAATTCCATAATCTTTGTATCTTTGTACTTAATAATAGGCAGTAGCACTTTGCTTTGTGAAATCAGAGGACAATATGCAAGTGGAAAATTTCCAGTATTCTTTATTTAGAATTGTGAGTTGCCTGTTTGCCACAAAGACAACATGTTTTACAAAGAGGGGAAAGGTATAAACTTTGTTAAAATGCTTCATTACAACTACGTTGAGAAGTTGCATTTCAAAACAAATACCTAGATAATTAAAAGGTTAAAAGAATTCAAAATAGAGAGTACTACATCAAACAAATTAAAAGCTTTATCTTAAAGAATGATTATGCTTTATATAATAGAATATGTCTGCATAATTACAGAAAACCAATTATCTAACTAAGAAAAGAAAATAGAATAGTTAGAAGTGGTTAAAGAAGTCGTGTTCTCAGCAGCACGTTATAATTACCCTGGAGAAATGTAAAACTCTTCAAGATGCTTTTATTAGTGAAGAATTTTTATGAGTTTGGTGGGGAGTTTTAAAGGAGTATTTGACTTCTCTCTTTTAGTTTTGCTTACTTTTTGAGGTGAATTTTTACTGGTGAATCTCACAAATCAACAATGATTACTTAAAAATAATTGACAATTTATGATACTAGCCTATAAAATGAGAAAATAAAGCTTGTACACTTCACAGGTCCCCTTTCAAAATTTCCTAGGAGACTTTGTATGAACTAACAAATGTGCGAATGGAAGCCAAACGAGTCCTTTTGTTTTTGAATTCCCTCTGCTGCTAATTTTCACTAATTCTCTTTCCCACTAGTTTTCTTTAGCAGTGTCCAAACACTCCAACAGGAACTTTTTGGTCCGCTGTGAAAACACATTGTTTCACTCCAGTACTGATAAACGTTATAACCTTATATTCAAAATAAAGTTATCAGTTCACTGTTTGCTGCTTAGTGTTTGGTATTCTGTTTAAAGGAAAAAAAATTTGGAATCCTATGCCTCTGTATACAAATAAGGTAAACCACACCCTTAGGTTGATTGGAAAATATGATTAATTCATCACAGGTTAATAGTATGCAGTGATTAAATTTAGATCTTGTACGAAATGCTTACTCTGTGGTAAAAAGGCATGGGAATTACTTTATATAATGGTGCTTTTTTTTTTTTTAATGCAATGCTTAGTAAAACGTAGTAAAATGTTCTGGAGAGATCTTCTGGTGACATTGTGGGGTGTGTGTTGGTCTGACTTCTGGCATTGCTCGATGGTGGAGCAGTGATGTTTAAGTGTTCTTTGACTAGAAACATCCAGCATGTATCATTAACAGCTCTTTTGTCAGTTGTGCCAATATGCTGCTAGAAAATAACAAAAGAGGTTGGAGGGCAGCAGCACGGATTGTTTTTCTAGGCATTTTGCGGTTGAATTGCTGCAGGGCTCTCTAACTTGTTTCAAGTATTTATTAAATGAATTAATCCCTTATTATATTTAAAGTAGCTTCAGGTTTACAACTTCTGCATTAATAGAAACTGTACTATTTGTAATCTTTTTTTGCCTTGGGTTACTCCTTATCTATTTACTTACAAATATGACTTCTGATATGTAGCAAAAAATACGTTGTAATTATAATAATCTAAGGAAAATGGCTCCTATGAAAAAAAATCTGTATTTTTTCCCCCATTTTTTGGAGTGATTAGTATTACATCTTCATTATTCTTTTATACTGAATGCATAAACTTATCTGTTTTTCAGTTGTATTTTTATTAAACACTCTGTGCTGGAGATTACTTTGCGAAAAAGATTCTCTTGTTGTTAACACGAAAACTGTTTTACTAACAGCATCGCAGACAGAATTTGAAATTCAAATATTATTTCATTAATAAGCAGGCAATGAGTCGGTCTAATGTAGCTCAGAAAATCATGAGTTAGAATAATAATTAGCAAAAACTGATATGAAGGAAGATATCTACTGTGAATGGGTAGAGTGGTTTGAAGATGTATTTCATGAGTGTAACAGAGGACTATCAGTATGGGAGAGAGAACGCTGTAGTAAGCATAGTAAATGTGGATGATCTAAAAGGCAAGAGTGATAGAAGAAACAGGGAAAGCAAAACCAAATTGTGTTACGCTGCTTAGTAAGTCTAAGTATTGCTGAACAGTTTTGTGAATGCCTGAATTTTACTGGCGGCTTCAGCATTACAAAGGAGAGATAGTATTTTGGAAGCAGTTTAAGAATCAAAATGAACGTAGTTCATTTTGTATGTTTGGAGGGGAGAATTCAAAATTATATTGATTCTTGAATTCTTCAGTAGGAAAGAGGAGAAATTTTAATTTAAATGTAACACACATTTATCTGTGTTTGAGTATACTCTAGTGCTGTTGAGTTAGTCTGTTACCGAAGAGAGGTGATCCTTTCATGTACTTGGCACTGGTGAGGTTTCACCTGGAGTACTCTGTCTATTTCTCAGCTCCCCAGCACAAAAAAGATATGAAGATGCTGAAGAGAGTCCAGTGAAGGGCCACACAGATGATGAAAGGATAGGGATAGGAATGCCTCTCCTATGAGGAAAGACAGGGAGAGCTGGGACTGCTTAGTCTGGAGAAGAAGACACTCAGGGAGGATCTTTTTAATGTGTGCAAGTACTTTAAGGGAAGGTGCAAAAGAGGCATAGCCAGACTCTTTGGTGCTCTGCAACAGAACAAGAGGCGTTGTGCACAAACTGGAAAACAGGAACTTCCCTGTGACCATCAGGCTGTCCAGAGAGATGGTGCATTCTCTCCCGTCTCTCTTGCAGATATTCAAAAGGAGCCTGGACATAGTCCTGGACAAGCAGCTTTAGATGTCCCCACTTGAAAAAGACAGACCAGGTGACTCTGGAGGTCCTTTTGTTTTGTGATTCTGAGAGAAGGTGTAACTTATCTTTTTTATTTGTTTTATTTTTATTTTTTTATTTGTGTTCCACAGAGCCTCTAAAGAAGGGTAAATTGTAGCATCTCTGTTTAGGTTCCTATAGGTTTATTAACTCTTGATAGTACTGGTGAGCGTTATACTGGATATGTACAGAGTACATGCCATTAAAGTGCCACGTTCTGAAGACAGGGGGAAGAAAACCTGCTTTAGTTTTTGCAACAAAAGCTTTAGCAAGAAGAGACAAAAGCTTTAGTGCTTCTCTATAAAGCCACTGGGATTGTGATCTTTTTGGAATTAGGTTTTTGTACGCTTATCTTGCAAGGATTTTCTGAGAGAAATGGTACCTCTGGGCAGAGAATACAGTTATGGTAGCATATTAAATTGCCAGCAAGGTGTCCCTAAATGAATATTTGAAATGTAAATTTGAAAAATGTTAAAAACAGAAGTGATACAAGGAGCGGATTGTGGCTGAAATGAGTTCTGTAAAAAAGTGTCCAATCTTCTTATCAAATGGTTTCTCAGGCTTGACTGTGTGAAATTCCAAGTCAAAAGTAAAATAAGTTCCTGTATGTAGAACTCACCTTCAGTCTTTTTGCATGATGCTGATTTAAGTATGGTAGAAACTGAAACTTTTGGCTTCAAGATTAAGATCCAAAACCATGTGGTTTTTTTTTGTTTGTTTGTTTGTTTGTTTTTGTTTTGTTTAAATTTCTTTTAGTATTTCAATCCTTTTTTCTTTTTTTTTAGTCCCTCTTCACTAGCTGGGAAAATGATGGACCAGGAGGTAACAATAAAAGTCAGAGAAATGAAAAGTATTTTGTTTTTTAGCTGGAAGATTGGGAAATATGTATTGAATTGAAATGCACACAGAAGAGTGGGAGGAGTCCTTTTTCTCAGGAAAAATGTCAATCATTTGTCAATTGTTAGGTATCATTGTACACATTCAAATTTCTGAAGAATTTAACTGCAAGATAATGGTACGTAGTGCCATATTTTCGGTAAAAAACATTATTCTGCAGATAAAAGACTAAAAACAATGCCTTCTATTTCTATGTGAGGCAATAACTATAAGCAAATAATAGAAGAAAAAGAAAAAAAAGGTCTATCATAATACAGAATGTTCAAATGGAAAGATCACAGAATCACAGTGTGGCCAGGGTTGGAAAGGACCTCAAGGATCGTGAATCTCCAACCCCCTGCTGCTTGCAGGGCCACCAACCTCCCCATTTAATACTGGACCAGGCTGCTCAGGGCCCCATCCAGTCTGGCCTTGAACATCTCCAGGGACGGGGCATCCACAGCCTCTCTGGGCAGCCTGTTCCAGCACCTCACCACTCTCTCTGTAAAGAACTTTCCCCTGACATCCAACCTAAATCTTCCCTCCCTCAACTTAAAACCACTTTCCCTTATCCTGCCATTATCTACCCTTGTAAAGAGTTGACTCCCTTCCTGCTTATAAGCTCCCTTTAGGCACTGAAAAGCTGCAATGAGGTCACTCCACAGCCTTCTTTTATCCAGGCTGGACAAGCCCAGCTTCCTCAGCCTGTCTTTGTAGAGGAGGTGCTCCAGCTCTCTGATCATCTTCGTGGCTCTCCTCTGGACCCTCTCCAACAGCTCTCTGTCTTTCTTGTACAGGGGATTCCAAACCTGGACACAGTATTCCAGATGAGGCCTCAGAAG